GAATTTATTATTTATATCACCGAATGACACCGCTGCTGCTAGAACGCCCAGTAGGGGGTGTCCCGGGCTATCTCGTTAACCTAGAAACCCCGCGTTTCTTTATGCAGCGTTCGAGAAGCGCTTTACAGCGAACACACTTTCAGTGTGTTCGCTTTATGGCCAATACTACTTGTGACGTCATTTCGCTACACTCTCAAAGCAACGAGAAACGATACAACAGAATGCCAATCGAATAATCGAAATAACCTGGAACCGGACCATCCGGATAACTTATTTCACTATTTCATTTTAATTTTAATGAAATAGTAAAAAAAGATTAAGATATAGAAATATGATACATACAATGATTAGAAATAAAGAAAAAATTGTCTAATTTATTAAAGTCAAGCTGCAGGTTACTCTGTACTGATGAAACTTTGAATTCAAAATAAAAATGTATTATAGGAAAAGTAATACACGCTAATCCTTAATCCGGCAATTTTAGCACCTGCCCATTGCAGAATTACAAAAAAATGCTAGACTACAGAAATCGATCTTTGAGATTCCTTACATAACTGGTTCGCGCCACTCCAACGGGTTGCCCACGTGTTAGTGTTTTACGGGTCTTCTTTTCGTTTGTAATACCTAAATAGGAGCCAGTTTCCCGTAAAAAGTCCTCTCGGATGTCATCTCTTCTTGGCAGATCGTCTACGTGTCACGTCGCGAAACTCAAACCTGAAGCTGTACCAGCAGTGTCTTCAAAGCATTGTCATCAGGTACTGTACTGTACGTGTACATCGAGGTTAAATAGGGCAGTAAAATGGATTTCGACGTTAGAATGAGTCCTGGCAGTATTACTAGCGATCTTCTTTATCCATTGCTGCAACAAAGCTTGCTTTTAGTACTTTTCTTTGAATTAAATAAAGAGATACAACTAGTGAAGGCAGATTCAAAACGTGCAGGACCATGGGAGTTGCCGAACACCAGATTAATTAAAGGCGTTTAATCTGTAATAACAAAATAGCTAGGAAGAAAACTGATCTTAAAAACATTGTTTACAGTCGTTAGTAATTAAAATTTTGTAATTTGTGTTTTCTGAAGTTAATTTCGGTTAATCGATTTTTCAGATAATCGGCGTTCTTCTGTATTCTATATCTGAAGCGGGAATCGAATTCATAACGTCAGCTTAGCGTGCAATTACTTTGCCAGTTACAGCGGTCCCCAACCTTTTTATCGCTGCGGACTGGTCAACGTTTGATATTTTACCGCGGCCCACTGAGGGGGACGTTGATCGTTTATATTTTAGATTGATTTAATTTAATAATTTTAATTTAATTGTATTTAAACATGCCTTCAAAATAAAATACAGTTACACCAAAAAATGAATATAATGCGATTTAACATTTTAACTCACTAGAACACTAAATCAATGAGAACCCTGAACTTGTTTTTTTGCAACAAGACGGTTCCATCTGGGGGTAATAGGAGACAATGACACCCGAAGCGTGTTTCTTATGTCCAATTTATTCCGTTGTTCCGTCGTCCATTAAAAGTCGCACAAACCCGGGAGAAATACACCATAGTAAATAAAATGGAAATACCAGTAATTTAATGTTCCTTGGGCGGTCCGGTACCATTTAATCCACAGACCGGTACCGGTCCGCGGCCCGGGGGTTGGGGACCACTGAGTTACAATACCCTGACCTTCGTTTCAGCTTTAAAGATACAAATGCAGACAATGGTAATATACAACGTAGATTTTACAGATAAAAGTAATAAAAGTAAGTCTTTGTTAAAAAAGATACACACAGCAGTTGAGAGTAGGTGGAGAATGGATAAAAGTACTTATCAATAGCCAGATAGAGAAGCTTGTCAATACGGAATATGTTCGAGTTGGACATATTTATCGTGGCAAACTCGTCACCATGCGATTCAAGTGTTTTTGGAGTAACTTGGTCTACTCCTCTCTCAGAGCAATAAATTGTGTTCGTCCTTAAGTTTTTGACACGTGTTGCACGTGAATTGCAACACGTGAATTGCAAAAAACACACACACAAAAAAAATTTCACATTTTAAACGAAAATTTAAATCTGAAAATTTTAACGTTTCAATTCAGCATTCTGTTGAGAGTTATTCCATTTTTCTTTCTTAAAAATCAAAAATAATTTTTTACTTACATTTCTGGAGTTTCTGAAATCAAAATTATTCCGAAAAATATTAAAAGTGAGAGAGAGAAACGCACAACTTCCTGGAAAATCTCCGCTTCAAGAGGGCGACCAACAATAAGAAATTCGAAAGATATCGTTACTTTCGAACGTCAAATGCACATCAAACATTAATGATTTAAAATGTTTAAGTTAAAAAAGTCTCGTTTTTCAAATACATAAATTTATAAAAATTAAATTTACATATGTCGAGTACTTTTTTTTGTTCGAAAGTACATTGTGCAGTAGATTCCCCCTATAAAACGGGTTCATATAGTTCGGATTCCTATATGACGGCGAAAAAATTGCGACAGTATTCGTACAAACATGCTAAAAAACTCGTATAATTCGGTAAACTTTCATCGTGGATGCACCACTCCACGACGAAAACAAGCTTAAGCAATGGCGTCGTCGAACGGTGCACACTCGGTAGGTAATCTTACAATTTTTTGTTTATAGCATAGTTTATATGGATTATTCCCAACAAATTATACGTATTTTGGAAATGTTGAGTCGAATTAGTCTAGAATCAATTAATTTTATGGAAGAAACCTTTCAAACAGCCTTAGTCCGTAAACTGCATACGTGCCGAGTTGTGATTGGTTCATGTATTTAAAGACTCGTAGAACATCAATTTTATAAAGAACGGAACGTAAATACCGTGCTATAGAGGGGTCGACTGTATAAATATAATGTAATTATATGATGTTTAATGTTATTTTATAATCTTATAAATGTCAAAAAATTCAAATAGATCAGCTATTAGAAAATTATAAGGTTTTAAATATACATTATGCGCTAAATTATGTTTTATTGTAATAAACGCGGAACTATTTTCGTTCGCGTAAGTGGAATAACAAACATCGACTCCGTTCTTATTTTGAGACACTACAATGCAGTAGAACATCGACTATCCGAACCCCTATTTTTTTATTTTTTTTTCCGAATGGATAAAATCACTAAACACATATATAGTTGGTCTTGAGTGTGTGCCCCTCCAACGGGCATTTTTAAAACTCTTTCTACCCCGTGGGCACTAAGAATACCTCTTTTAGCAAGCCCATTATGGGTTCGGTCAGTTCATAAAGGGGCGGTCGGGTAGTGAGGGATAAAGCCCTACATTTCGGGTCAAACCATCCGAATAATGCTTGGAGATGTTTGTCCGAAATCGATCCCGGGTTCCCCAGAACTGTTGACCGCTCTGACCACAAAGAATATAAAGATATTTCATTAACATAATTAACTCAATTAAACACTTTATTATATTTTAATAATAGTTATTTACTTGATTCAACATTTTTCATATTCATCCTGAAAGAATAAACCCAATCATAGGTAAGTTTAACAGTATAAAAATATTTAAAACTAAATAATTATATTTTTAAAAATATAAATATAAATAATTAAAATATATAAATTTAATTACGTTTAAATTATCGATTAAAATAATTTAATTATTTAGAAAACATCTCTATATTCCAGGTGTCTAACTACGCAGGAAACATTTCTGAATGATAGGTGGCGTCGTTACCGGATGTCGACGATGACCTACGATTAGAAACTTGTAGGGTGTTGTTGTTGTCGTAGGGGGAAAAAATATCCTAAGAAATTCTCGGATATTATTAGCCAAATTTCATTATGACGCTCCACAGAATCTCGTAGGATCAAAATGGTGAGTAATAAACAATTTTTAAGAGCTTAAATCGAAGTAATCTTTGTGTAAACAAACGTCATCCCGGATTCCTCAACGAAGACGTTTAATCACGATTTACGAACGGAAATTATTAATTTTCCCGCTAATTAAAGGGTTTTCTACGTTCTAAGACGAACTTTGGCACCGTTTTTTGCGGGAAATGTTAAGATTTTAATGAATTTCGGGTTTTGACTGTGTCTCTTATACCGTTTACTGTTAAAAACACCTTGTTTTGTGTTCATTTCATTTAAAATACCTTCAACACACACACGTGATACGTATAAACACCACCCTGATTTGTTTTCTGGCCAATTATTGCAATTATAAACCTCAAACTTGCTGTGTTTCTTCAATTGTTCATTTAATACGTAAACTGTCAGTCAAGACACTTATTAATATGTTAATGTGAAAATTGTAATTGGATACTCCGAGCGGGTTCGCCTGGCTTGCCTTTTGGCTTCAGATGGTCGAGTCGTTTCGGATTTTCTTACTTGTTTGACGCTTTGTGCTCACGTTTTAATTGAATATTTAATTTTTTCTATCGTCTGTTCGGTTCGGATGAAATTATACAATCAGCTGCTCCGTGGAGGCATCGACTGCACTTCGTCGTCTCTTGTGTGATGTTAACGGCTCCTGTTTATTCCGTCGTCCCATTCTGCTTTAAAATTCGTTTACTGGGAAATCTCATCAATGTCTAGATGTACTTTATTGGAAAATTAAATGGCTTTGTATAAATTTAAAGAATTGAATACCTTTTACGTACAGAGATATCATACACCCTTCTTACTGAATGAAAAAATATGTAAATTTATTATAGAAATAACTTTATTTCTGCTCCTTTGACTTTGCTCTCTAATAATCAAACTGTTATTTGATCTCTGAATGAACTTTGTATACGGGAATTACCTCTAGTTGGATATTTCCGATATTTTTCCCAGCATCTCTATACGTAACATTCTTTTGCTTTGTATGCAATGAATAGCCTTTAGGAAATGTCTCTTCCATTCATAAACTAGATTCTTGTTCAGTTTGCAATGTATTATCTCTTAAATAACAGGAAGAGATAATACATCACATAACTAACTACAGATAACTTTGCCATTCTCACTTAACTTATGAAATTTGTATTGTTTCAGTTATTATTTTGCTGCTTCAGGTGTTTTCTTCCTGTTTTTAAGTATGGTACGGAACAATTTTCAATGTTTGGTTCCTCCTTAAATGCTAAAAATAACCAGAACGGTGGAATGTGATTCATCATCATATTTATAGGGCAGGTTCTGATTTCAGGAAACACCTAGACCTTGACTCAAGTTGAAGTCTAAACTTTTTGATAGCTAACAGATGTGGAATGTTAAAATACTTCTCCAACATTCGGGAAAGTAATTTTCTTTTAAATTAAATTAAACTTAATAATGACTTAAAGAATAGGAAGCTAGTAATTAAAATTAGATTAATAATTTTCTAGAGCAATCTTGTAAGTTGGTCTAATAAAATTTAAATAATTTATTATTTTTTTGCCATATAATTCTACTTCTATCACTTAACCTATTTAATGTGCAATAATTAAAAACTTGTTTAAAAATTAGGAGAAAACACAAGTCGGTGGTCGTGCGGCAAATATAATTTGATACGATAATTACTTTTAGGAACCGTTTTCTTAGTTGCTGGAGTAAAAATCCTGTTTTTTTTTTTTTTTCTTTTTTTAGACAAAACTCATTGTCTGAACCTTGTCGACAACAATGTTGATGCTGCAAAACCTGAAATGTTAAAAATTTTTACTTCCTTCCTCCATTGTCATTATTTATGTATAAAAATATTTACGAATAATACAAAAATGTGCGTTCTTCCTGTTGTTCGTCGTTAATCAAAGGTCACTTCGGAGTGTTACGCACCATAATATTTTGCACAATAAATATTGTAATTGTTTACGGTAGGAGGCAAAAATAATTTACTTTCTGCTTGGATTCAGACACTTTTTTTTTTCTTTTTCGATTGGCGTAACAAGGACAATTGCATAGAAGTTATAGATTAATTTTTATTACGGTCTCATTAACATTGACTTATTCTTAATTGTTCCATTTATTCGTAATAAATGGATAAAAGGCTAATTTTATTCATTTATTTTATATGGAATTTCTAAAATTAATTTACTATGAAATAATTTTTAAAAATTCTGAGTTTATATGAATCTATGTACTTTATTTGAGTAAGAAAACAATACTGTGTAGCAACTTCACAAATACATTTCAGCTGACTACATCTATCTGCAGGGAAGTTAATACAAAAAAAACAGTTCTAAGAAGTTATAAGTTTCTTCTAAAGATAGTTTTTTAGTGGTAAATTCTCCTAAAGGGTGATTTTTGTTAGTCCAAAAGCAGTTGATTTCTTACTCTAAGTAAGTTTCCTCTGTTAAATTTTCATAATTAAGCAGCAATAATTTAAATAAGGAGGTTTATACAGGATAGCAGTGGATTATAACTTATTTCCATGTAATTAGTTTTCATAAGGTGTAAAAATGTAATTATGGTAAAGGTTATGTCGCATTAAGGAAGTGGGATATGGATGTTTTTCATTGTTTGGTATTTCTTGACATATCAGTTGATTTAAGATGTCGAGTTTATTCATATCCTAAAAACTCAAATAATAAATTTTCATAGATTAGATCGACGGCATTTTTTTCTTATAATGTTTAAAATTAACTGCTTATTAGGAAGAATCTTTGTTATTTTATTTTTAACCTTTATTTTTCAAAAGAAACTCGTTTGATGTTCCTCAGTCGTGCACCAGTGGAGAAGAGATGAAATTCTTTTTTCTGGGCGAATTGGTCTATTTATGCAATGCTCAAGCATGCATTCAGTGATCCGAGGAAACACAACGTTTTTAGATAACGATCCGACCTTCGGCCACATAGAAACCGTAAGTTATCGCAGCATGACAGACTATTGCAATTGCAGTCGGAAGCGTGAGCTTTAAAATTAATTCCCAGAAATTTTGCCTCTCCTTTTTGCTTATCATTAATTAAATTTTTCGCACTCGAAAGATTGGAAATGTTTCCCGGTAAAAATCCAAAAGGTAATTACCATTTTGCATAGCTATTCCTACTTATAGCATAATTTCCTGGATGAAAAATAGATAGGTAATTACTTCGCGCAAGAATGAACCATAATATATAATTGTCAAATTGACCAAGAAGATTAATTTTTCGGATGTTACTACCAAGAATGCAACCAGATTATCTTCCTTTCTTCATAGCTGGAGTTATTACAATTGTTTTTTTAATGACTTTCTTTGTTTTTTTTTGTACCTTTTATTTATTACCTTTTAATTAAAATTATTTCATATAAACTAATTTATTAACAAGTAATTTTTTTCTTTGCTTATTTATAATTTTAAAGCTTAAAAACTCAGATAAGATCAATGTCATGATTTGTTTTTGTAGTTGTTCAATCACACGGAGGAACAATTATGACAGATGTTGTTTGTATGAGTTGTTTGCGACAGTACTCATTCTATACAAGAACATTATGTAATTTAAAATTTTACCCTCATTAAATATTTGTAAATTAAAATGGAAACCTTAAATGTTAGTATTTGGCACCAAATAAACAACAGGAATTCAGGAATCCGAGAACCATTGACATTTTCCTTTTCTACTTCCTGTTAGTCAGGAAACTGAATTATATTTGCTGTTTTCTGCAAAAACTTAACTGATATCGATTATTTAACTGATTTTTTCCTGGTAAAATATATAGAAATTACTTAAAATATAAAAATTATATTTCACAAAGGCCAATATTTTTGTTTTCCAAAATTATTTTAATTTAAGAAGTTACCTGATGTATTCTTGATTGGCTAAGTTTATTGTTAATTATTTTGATACTAAGCTCGCTTAGCATTCATAAAGCAACTTAATGTAAATAAATACATTAATTAGCATAATTAATCATAATTATTTGTTTGTGATCAGATCTTAGATTATTCTGTTTGCAGCTACTTGTTATATTGTAACGGGAAACCAGTTTCATACAGTGCGGGAAAGATTACTCGGAAGAGATGTGATAATCTCAATATCCTCTCTACCAAGAAAAACTATGCATCATCATTCGATATTTTTCTCTTCAGAATGTAAATTTTTTCTTTCCGAACTAGTTGTTTTGGATTAAAACACACAGAAAAAATAAAAATCTAGGTCAGATTAAACTTGGAATTACATTTAGAATGGTAATTATTATTTATATCTTGCATTTTAACTTTGTTAAACGGTTACCAAATTTCTTAATATTTGTTATTTTTGTGTTTTGCATTATGTGAGATGACAAGTCTCTTTGGCAGTCGGCATTTTTTTGTGAAATCGTGTTATTGCTTACAGGTAATTGTTATCTTTACTGAATAAATGGAGCAGTCTACTTCCTCGTTTTGACTTGTTTTTGCTTGTAATATCAACTTTTTTTTTTATCCGATGATAAAAATGTGGATGTATTTTTCTTCCTATCATCATGCAGAACATCTCTTTGCTCTATAAAAAGTAATAAGTGATTAAATTATGGTAATATGTATATTTGTAATAGGTTCCAAGTCGATTGTTTCTTACATTTTTATTCTCTGAGAAAAAAATACACCGTTTTGATTGATAAAATTGCCATAAGGTTGTAATGCCACTTATCATTAATATCAAATTAATCTGTAAACAGTTTAATGACTGTCCGATTCCAAAATCCGACATTTCTGATGCATTTTAGCATTAACTAAAACCGTGTTTACATTGTTTCCTCTTCAAAAAAATCATTTTTTGAATGTTTATCTTTTACTTTTTAGAATGACATGGATTGGAGATAGAAGATAAGTTATTCCTCTGCATCAAATAGTTAATTTTAGCCAAACATGAACAAAATGTATACCCATTTATATATTCACTGGGCTGTCCTTCTGCCATTAGCATTGACGTCCGGTCAATATGCCAATGAATCTAGTACAATGCTTCACTTCAGCCATGCTATGATAGTGCCAGAGTATCAGGAATCTCATTCGTTTGATCCACGTGGAATGGAACATCTATACACAATCACAAACATGTTTCTGGATTTAATACAGAAGGACGGACTACCTCCTGGTGAGTGTACTATTTTTTTTTTTTTTTCATATTTTTACATAAAAAACAACTTTATACTCTAGTCATTGTCACCAATGAAATATTCAAAACTCCCTTGAAAGTTATTGATAAAAACAGAGGAGAAGTAAGAATTTGACTTATTACTCATATAGTTACTTAGTTTTGCTCCTTAATTATACTAATGCTTTGTTTGCATTTTCAGCTTTTTAGCCATTTCTTGGGAATGTTGCTTATTGCTGTTATCGGACTGGTTTTAGCCATAATTTTACCCATCAGCGGACTGTTGTTTTGTTGCTGTCGTTGTGCAGGAAAATGTGGAAGTAAAAAAAATGTTCCGGAACAACGTAGAGATTCGTGTCGTCGCATCGTCTGGGGAACCGTTATGTTTTTAATATTATTGGCCATGATGTAAGTTTTATGTTCGCAAATGTCTCCTTCCACCAGTCAAAATTTTTAATATATTTAACTCATATATTTTTTAGGTTTGGCGTGGTATGTGCTTTTGTGACAAACGAATACATTGAACATGGTGTAAATTCTCTTCCTTGGACTCTAAAAGATAATATCGGAGATGTTAATCTGTATCTTAATAATACAAAATCGGTAACGATGAGATCAGTTTAATGACATTCATGTTAAAGATTTGTTAGAGTCTAATCAGTTAAATTGTTATATTTTAGGAAATCAATCATTTGTTAAAGAAAAATTTTCAACAGTTACAAATGAAATTGGGTGAAACCCTTGATAGTATGTTATTTGTTACTAGATTCATTAAAATTTCCGTTTAAAATTATTTAGTTTTAACATAATTTATTACTTTTTAGAAAGTGGAGAGACTGTGAAAGATAGATTAGGGGAAGTAACGCAAGCTGCAGCGGTCAATAATTTGACAGAAATTGTTTCTCGTAAGTAACAATTATGAATGCCATTTAATGAAAGCAACAATTAATTATATTTTATTAACCATCATTAGTTTATTATAATTATTAAAACTATTGCAAGATGGCGACTTAACTGCCTATCTCTAGACAAATTACTTTGTATCTAATTATCAACTTAGCCTAATTGTAACCTGATAATTTGGCAGATCATCTGGTTGTAATCAAAAATTTGTTTATTGAGTCATTTATATATAACTATTATTAACATTAAAAATATATAGAAGAAACTAAAATGTCTTTGCATTTCCGTCTTGTCCAATTGCCAGAAACAAACAGTTCTTTATAGAGATAACCTTTTATTAGAGATGTACTTGTTAGAGGATATTTCTGATGATTGGATATGACATGTTAGTTTCTTCTATATATTTTTAATTTGAAATATATCATTGGCGATTTTAATTGAAATCATTATTAAATTTCTAGGACTTGGACAGGTTCAAAACCGTTTAAAGAAAGCAGTTCAATATACGGAACAGCTGTATAAAACATCAAATCAGCTGCAGACTCATCTGACAGACATTAAAGAACAACTCATCGAAATACAAAAACGTTGCACTAGTGATAGTTGTCAAGAACAAATTAAGCAATATAACACAAGTGCCTTTTCTGTGGCTACAAACGTTTACAAAGTAAGTGACTTTCTTATCTTATTTAGCCTTTCAATAATCGATATTAATTCCATGAAATATTTCAGTTTCCAAATTTATCATATGTTTTCCATAATATTTCAACCCTTTTGAATCAGAACATTGAAACGGAAATTAAAGAAGTAAGTTCCATTGCTAGAAATGATCTTTTCTAAGCTATATTTTCAAAAATCTTAATCTAAGCAATGATTTATTCTAGGGAAAAATAGCATTTGATAAATTAAGTGATACAATACAAAAAGCTGTCAATAAGACTATACCAGGTAAGTGATGTCATCCTTAAAAATATCAAAACAGTAAAATTTAGTTAAGACTTAGACCTATATATACAGAAATGTTAATAACATGTTTTGTTTTGGGATAGATATCAAGCACAAGATAAGTCTTGTGGGTTCGGAATTATCTACGGCTGCAGACAACATAACTTTGATGCTGAGATTCCCTCAGTTGAATCAGGCAGAAAGTTATATAGTAAAATATGAGCCACTCGTAAAAGAATATTCTAAATATCGGTAAGAATATTGAAATGGCAGTTACTTTTTTATTACAATAATCTTAACAGAAGTTGTATTTAGGTGGTATGCATGCATCGGTTTCTGTTGCGGAATGTTATCTATTGTTATGTGTTTTACATTCGGATTAATATGCGGTACCTGTGGCCAACAACCTGGAAATATATACTCTGATAATACATGTAATAAAGGAGCGGGAGCAGATTTCTTATTACTGTGAGTATATTTTAATTTAAATTTGAAACTTTTAGTTAGTTTTGATAATGCAATAATTATTTTCTTGATAGTGGTGTTGGACTTCTTTTCTTGTTCTCGTTTCTGTTACTGATTGCCATGACGGCATTGTTTTTGGTTGGCGGGACTACTGAGAAAGTCATTTGTGATCTAGTGTCGAATTCTTCAAATCCACAGTTACGACAGGTAAGTAATTATGTTCTTTTCATTGTAACAGCAGCTGAGAGTTTTTGATTAATGTTATAAATTGTTAAAGTTAATAGAATTGATTCAAGATCAAGAAATAAATCATCCCTCTGCTGGAGAAAGACTGGATATCATACATATGCTTCGGTAAGATCATAAAGAAAAAGTACACTTATTAAGAATGCCAATCTGTTTCTTAATTTTTAGTAATAAGTTTTGACATTTTTCTTGCAGTCACTGCCACAAGAACCAAAGTCTCTATCATGCATTGGGTTTCGAACAACATCGTCAAATTCGAATAGGTCACAATGTTATTCAAATGATGAATTTTTCAGAAATAAGAAATTATCGCCAGGTAATTTGGTTTTGTGTTTCAACCGAGAAATCTCATCTCTTATAAATTAAGCATTTTTCCCTTCTCTTTATAAGAACTATCAAGTTGACGAAAAACTAGAAGAATTTCTGCATCAACTTAGTATTAGTCCAAATGTGACAGTGCTAACACCACAAGGAGAAGAATTACTCCAAAGATTGAAAGACACTCCATTTTCTGCAATAAACTTTTCTGTTTATTTTGAAATGGTAGGTAAAGAAATCTCCATTAAAGATCTTTAGCAAGAATTTATAATCATTTACATTTAAAAATTATTATACATACGACAGGATAAGAAACAGGTGACGTCAATTGACATACCTGATGTGATCCGTCAGTTGCAGACAACAATAACTTTAATCCCTGCATCGGAACATGAGGTGAGACCTTAAAATATTGTTTAAATGGTTATAATTATCAGTTAGAGACTCTGTTGTTATTTTTCAGGTTAAAAATAACTTGAAAAACATAACAAAACAATTAGAACTGTATCAGAGAACCCTGATTGCTTCAATTCATGAAACACTGGTAAGTTTATATATACAATATTTTGCAGTTCTTGTGAAATAATTGCTAAAATATTCACTGTTTAATTATAGGATCAACTTCAAAAACTAGGAGAACAACTTCAGAAAGATACAAGAGTAGGTAACAGGACCATCCAGGTGAATTACTTTTCACATACTAATATATAAAAACAATAAATGTAGGATATATGCTTAAAAAATTTTATTTTATTTCAGGAAGCACTACCAGATCTTCTCCAACAAGCTCAAACTGCACAAGAATTTATACAGACTAAAGGAAAAGAAGAAATTAAAAGGGTATGCACATATTTGTTCTAAAAATATTTTTTTACTTGCCATTTTTATGCTTTTCCCAAAATTAGTAATTACAAAACAAAAATATAAAGGATGCATAGTGAAGTCCTTATACACCCACATGAATGCAGATAGCTGCAGTTATAAATGTGATATAGAGTTATATTAAAGTGACTATGTACTTTGAGACAAAATCACTTGTGGTGTACTTAGCCTTAAAATTTGGAAGTTAGTACTCCCGTCTTGAAAACAATGCATGGTATGGAAAAAGTTGATTACAAAGTTGTAGAGTGTGAACAATTTACTGCAAATGGACACCCCACATACGTGATTAGAGTGAATAGAAAGTGTGAAATGCTAATTTTTTGCTATTTGATTCCTGTCAATGCTACATTACTAACTGCATCACAAAGCATGGAAAATGAAACTTTGTTCTAGACATAGACAAGGCAAATCATTCCAAGGAGTATTGCGAGAAGGTGCTATTATACAGAGAATATGGTTGTTGTGTCATTTTTCGGTCACCCTACCTGTTTCTCACAGTTTGTTGTATTTAAATTTGTTACACTTTAAATTGTATTTCGACTTGTTAAGCAATGCAAAGACAGTCAATGATAACTTTAGTAAAACCAATATTAAGAGCTATGCAAGAGAACTAAAAGGACCTATATTGACTATATTAAGACAAGAATATGAAATAAATTTATTTTTAAATAATGGTTGAATGGTGAAACTATTATATTTTTATTCTGTTTGTAAACTTCTTTTTTCAAAGTTTTTTTGTTTTGTTTTGAAGCATTGGCGTGCATGAATTTTAATGGCAAAATTCCAATATAATGCTACGTACTTATTGATTGTTTTATTTTTTTGATAATGCTAGTTGGCCGAAGAATTTATAACAGAATTTACAGGATTAATGGATCAGTACGCATTCTATGTACAGCAACAGGTAAATTTGAGATTAATTATTTGTAATATCTTATAAAAAGATTCAAATGATATCTTTATGATTTTAGGTTGAGAATAACATAGGTAAATGTGGTCCCATCAGCCAGGCTTTTAACACAAGTATCATTGCTACATGCAGTGAAATACTTCTGCCATTTGTAAGAATGATTTTACGTGTTTGGTTTTTATTAATTTCTCTTGTTAATTAATCTCATTTGTTTTTAGAATGGATTTTGGGCAAGTCTCGGTTGTTGCACTCTTCTCTGCATTCCGGGTCTTATTGTGGCAGTAATCTTATCCGTATTATATCGTCGAATAGAACCGTATCCCGGACCACTTGTCGATTCGTAAGTATAATGTTGCTTTGGTGTTATAACTGCTTTATTTTCTTCAAGGAAACTAATTTCATCTGTTAAAAATTTAATCTACTTTTTCATTTGAGGTTGTAATATGCTTAATTACAACAGTTATTTATCTTATGCTTCATTTGTACTAGAATTAACAGCACACTTACAGTATGGTCTTGTTTTACATGGTATCTCTTATTGACGGGTGCCTCACAAAATGAAATTTGTGCTCCACTCCAAGTAGTTCAGACGATTGCATAAACACTTGTGCAACCATTTACAATTAACAGATAAACATTAAAATGTGTTTAAAACATTTTACTATAACAAAGAACATTTTAGTCTAATGTTTCTCAATATGTTGAGTAAAATTCAATTTTATTATACTGAGTACTTAAGGAATATAAATGCAAATCAGGGTATCAGCAAGTAGCAAGTAGTGTTTTGGAATGTCAGAAGCCAGAGAAGTATTGTTTGCCAACTTAGGAGTGAGATAATGTAACCACTCACCATCTGCATATATAAATTCCATGTAAAAGAAGACCCTATTGTGTGTAGTTAGAATTAACAAATGTTATCTAATAATTTATGTGAATAACATTTGTTTTCTTGTCAGTCTCGGTCATCTCATAAATCAATACTTCACAAATATTCATATGACAGTAGGTGGCAGAAACAAATCGGATATATGAATCAAATTTACAAAATATCTTTTGATACTAATATATTTCCCGTGGCACAAATGTAATGCTTGGAGTATGGTTATTTGCCTCATAATGTCCATTCGAGTAACTCTGACCACAAATATCTGTGATTCCATATTGGAGAACAGAAATTTTTATCACTGAAAATCTTGGAGATATTGGTCTAATCTGGTGGGAAAATGTGGTTGGTTTAGGGCAGAGGTCACCAAACTTTTTCACAGCGGGCCAGATAACTAAGAGAATGATGAGCACAAGCTATATAACCATTTTGTTCAATACAGCATACTAAATACATAATAAATAAAGACAACCTGGATATTTTTTTTACCAATACAGAAACATGATCACTGCAGCAAGCTTTTAATTGCTTTCCTTAGAAACTTCATTGCAGGTACTTATATAAAAAGCACTCTTATATCCAAAGTCACCGAATTTTTATTTCACTGATTTATCTAAAAGTTATATTACTGTCAGATGCAAAAATTAGATTGGACCAATTTTGGCATTTTTACTTACTATGTGAAAATTTAAAATAAATGTAAGTTTATCTACAATGTATGATATTTCCATATAAATAATTAGTAACACAGTGTGGCAACAGGCTGGATAAACTGATCTCGTGGGCTATAGTTTGGTGACCCTGGTTTAGGGAAAAGATTATTAAGGACTTGGCAAAACTGATCTTGTGTATACAAAGCAAATTGCATTGCCAGATCCTAACGTTCTGTTTCCAGAAAATACTGCAAAAAGTTTCAGATTCTCCTAGATTTAAAATAAATATTATGTAACAAATACAAAAATTGCGACATGAATAATTACATAATTACATACAGTATCTTAGCTATTAATTAATTTACCACAATTTATGGAATATAAGATGCAATTTTTGTCCATAAAGGGCTCAAAAAATTGCCCCACATCCTATGTGAAGTTTCAGTCTCCTAAAGGGTAATGCATTCCCCAAACAGCCAATAGATTACTGTGTAATCTCTATCTAGCCCAACTTATGAATAAAAATGTTATTGTTTATTT